CTCTCTCTCTCTCTCTCTCTCTCTCTCTCTCTCTCTCTCTCTCTCTCTCTCTCTCTCTCTCTCTCTCTCTCTCTCTCTCTCTGTCTGTCTCTCTCATGTACGCACCCCGCCCAACAAAGGTTGTGCTGAGATGATGTATCTAAGGGACGCTGGACCCAGTTTCCAGCAGGTGATGCTCCCCACCAATAGATGGAGCAGCCCAACCGGCAAAGCCTCAATTCCGGTGGTTCAATTACCACCACCGGGATAGAGGCCTTGCACAACGGGTGCAATCAGACTCGCTTTCTTTCACACTTCACACGCATGCAAACAGGTGGCACATCAAACTGGCGACAAGCGCCCACTCAAAACTCAGAGATATGGCAACCAAGAACACAGTTCAGATACAAGCTCGCTTCAGCTGGCTATGGCGCATCAGCGCCTTTACAACTCCCTCTGTTCGTCACTGTGCCCAACTCTACTGTTCACACACACTCAACTCAGGATCACCCTGGATATCCCACACGCGACACACGCTCTTACACACAGGCACACACTACCTCCCATCTAACAGCTATGGCGGCTATGGCCGCTACTACCTCTACCACTATGGCTAAACTCTCCTTCGGCCCACTTCGTCTTCGGGCATAGTGCAGACTACCTCGCACAAGTCGCTGTGGCAGCGCTTCCGCATGGCTTATGCAGGAATGAATCAATGGCTGGTCGCTGCCTCTTGATTTATACTTCTGTAGCTCGTTGGTCTGCCCCTTTCCCATGCCCTGGGTGCACACAGTCCCACACGGTACTTGCTTGACTGAACCTGACTGACTGGGACTGATACCGCTGACTGCATGGGGACGCATTGCCAACTCACCGCAGTCGCACTGCCGACGTACTGCAGTTGGCCTCACCACTTGCCCACTTGCCTCTGTCTAATTGTGAGCAAGCTTCGAAAGGCCACTTTTGGACCTTCTGGAAGTTCGTAGACTTGGCCTTTCGGTACTGTAGCAGCTACGACCTTGACCCTTCGGAGGAGCTACAGCTACGACTCCTAGGACCTGCTAAGACCTACAAACGACAGGTCTCCAGATCAAACCCCTACAACCAGCGGACCTACGACAACCTACCAACTACTGCGAATACACAGGTCACGGGTTCAACTCTCGGGGTCGACACAGATACTGTACACAGGTAAAGTGAGAACTAGGGATCGAGCCCTGGGATCTGCATCCGCTACTACTAACAGTTGAATACCGTTTCACTCCCGCTGGCCTAAATTCGAGGTCCTCCGAGAAGAACTCAGTCCAAGGCAGGACCTTTACCCTTTCTTTCCCGCTCATAGGCTCTCACTACATCGGGAGCTGATTCTAGAAGTTCAGTTCTAGTAAACCAGCGGTCGTCCTCGGGTTCCTGATAAGCAAATCGGACCTCGTGCTGTTTCTGTGGACGACATCTTCCTCCTGTTCTAAATACGTCTTCACCTACAATGCCTTCAATGTCATATCTCCCGTCCATGTCCGGAGGGATCATGGATCTTCTAGATGGGAATTGTTGGCTTGTGACACACGACAACAACTTTGATGCATGAAATACGGGGTAGGTGTGGAGGTGTGCTGGGATCTCTACTGTGTAGGACGGTCCATCCTCTCCGCCCTTAACTTCTAGAACTGGCCACGGTCCTCTGTATGCGGGCAGTAACTTCTGCGAGATGTTCTCCTCAGGAGCAAATTCTTTGGACTTGACCCAGACCAGGTTGCCTACTTGAAACTGTGACGGGCGACGGTGCTTGTTAGCCTGATCTATCATTCGGTGTTGGGCCTTCGTGAGGTTCTCTACAACGGTCGCTAACTCCTTCTCGTGCTGTATCGCAAACTCTCTAGTACCGGGCGGTAGCCTGTGAATCTGGTCCCGGTTAAGTCCTTCAAACGGTCTACGCGGTCTAAAGGACTTGTGCAGCTCATTGGGAGTGCGACACGTGGCTAAGTGCACGCTGTTATTATAGGCACTGGCTACCTTGGGCAACATCTCATTCCAATTGATTTGATCGGGTCTAATGTACATACGCAGAACTTGTTGCAGGATCTTATTCATCTGTTCGGTCTAACCGTTAGTCTTTGGGTGCCGGCCAAACGACATTAGCAATTTCGACCCATAAACTTTCATGAGCTCCTGCCAGTTCTGACTAGTGAACCGCGTGTCTCTATCACTAACTATAGACAGCGGAATCCCGTGATCACTAACCCAATGGTTAAAAACTTCTGAATTACTAACTCAGTACGTGCCTCTGCAGGCAAAGGAACAAAAACTGCATATTTGCTAAATCTATTAACTATCACCATGACTTGGCTCTTTCCATGTCTACTTTTTACACCAGCATCCATGAAGTCAATGGAGACTGAATCTCCAGGCTGGTCAGGGATAGGCAAGGGTCGAAGAAGAAACTAGAGGGGCACACATAGTAGTTTTGTTTTCTTTGGCAGACTTTGCAGCTGCGAACATACTCTATGTAGTCTGCTTTCATTCTTGGCCAAGTGTATGCCTGCAATAGGTTGGCTAGAGTCGTTTACCAACCGAAATGTCCCTCTGTGTCGTGGCATTCCCCTAAGATCAAACTACGGATCTCCTCACTGTTGGGAACGCACAGGCGGTCTACTACATTGGTCTTCTCGAATAATAATCCCTCTGTAATGCGGTAATGTGGTTCAGTCTCTGGGGCCTCCGTAACTCTCTTGAGGAGGTCGCTATGAATAGGGTTCAGCGGATACGCCTGTCTTACTCTCTTGCAGGTCGGTCCCTATATCCAGATAGTGGACTGTGGCTCCAAAGTAGTCTGATCTCCTACTTAGAGCATCCGCGACTACATTGTACTTGCCTTTTACTGGTTTGAGCTCAAAGTCATACCGGTCTATCTCAGCGGCCCACCTAGTCAACTTAGGTGTCATTTTGGCCTGTGTCTTCAGCCACCTAAGAGTCTTGTGGTCTGAATACACTTTGAAGTGCCTCCCAAGCAGGTAATGCTTCCAGTGCTCTAAGGTCTGCCTGAGAGCATAGAGTTCTCTCTCGTATGTCGAAATAGCCACCTTCTCGGAGGGCATCCTTGCTGACATGAACTCTACGGGTCTGTGGCCATTGCTGTCGTCTTGCAGTAACACGACGCCTATACCATACTGACTCGCGTCCGTGGTGACGACAAATGGCAAGGACGGATCTGCTACTTTGAGGACAGGATACTCTATCAACGCGCGCTTTAACTTCTTGAGCTCGGATGTACAGTCTTTGTCCCATTGCCAGATTGCTTCTTTCTTTAGCAACTGGCAAAGGGGAGCAGTGACAGTCGAAAAGTTCCTCACGAACTTCCTATAGTAGTTAGCCAGGCCTAGGAACGACCACAACTCTGTCAGTGTGCGGGCGTCGGCCAGTCTCTAATCGCCGCTATTTTGCTATCCTAAGGCTTAATGCCATCTCCATCTAGCATGTGGCCCAAGTACAAAACTTGGGTCTTGGCCCACTCACACTTCTTTGCGTTGATCTTGAAGTTAGCCTCTCTCAACTTCTCCAAGACCTGCCTCAAATGACCCTGATGCTCTTGGAGGGTCCTACTGAATACTAATATATCATCTAGATAGACTACAACAAATATGTCTAACCATGACCTAAACAAATCGTTCATACAGCGCTGGAATGTGGCAGGCGCATTGGTTAGTCCAAAGGGCATCACTACGAACTCATAGTGCCCATATCTAGTCCGGAACGCAGTCTTGTACTGGTCATCAGGATGAACCTCTATCTGATGATATCCGGACTTCATATCGATCTTCGAAAAATATCTGCCGCCCTGCACTCGATCTAGGAGATCGTCTATCCTGGGCAGTGGCTCAACGTTCTTTACTGTGATCGCGTTTAGACCCCTATAGTCTATGCACATCCGTAATTCTCCTTCCTTTTGGGGGACAAACAAAACTGGTGCTCCAAAAGGAGATGAACTGGGCCTAATCCAACCCCGTTCGAGGAGTTTGCCTAACTGCTTACCCAGCTCCTCTAACTCCCTTGGGGACATCCTGTAGATTGCTCCCTTAAGAGTCCTACTGCCAGGCTCTATCTCTATACGATGTTGTAGGCGACTCTGCTAAATCCTTAAATTCCTCCAGCACCTTGGCAATGGTTGGATCTATGGGTGTGTCCTCCTTAGGCTCAGTGACAGGCCTTACATAAGCTACTAAGACCTGTTCCTCTAACTGCTCCTTTCTTACTAATCGCGCGAACGCGGGAGCACTGAGACAGCAATGTGCTAGAGAGTTGTCTACTCCTGACACATGAAATAGGTGGGCCGTCTTAACTTCGCGTGACGGACTAGGGAGCCTACACTCATGCTCTCTCAAGTGGAGTGTGGCCCCTGTTGCCTCTCCCCAATCCATACCTAGGACTATGTCGAAAGGAAGGTCATCCTGTATAAGGAGAGTCAGGGAATGGAGAACTTTTTCCACCTTCCCATGCAATGTACCACTTCCTGGTCTTCGCGGCGCAGAAGCGGGAGCGGCGGCCTTACACCGAGACTCATGTGGTGATGACGGGTCCGGGCCTCGATCGGTGTGCAAGCGGTGGCGGATCTGGCGCCACAAGTCCTGTCCCATGTGSCGGGGGCTTTCCTTTATCCCTCGTTCGTCCAGCATCACTTCCATGAGGAAGATGCGCCGACGACTCCCGTGGCAATGGCCGTTTTTTTTCCACCTATTYCRCCCCCTCTCAATCCCGACATAGATCACTTCCTCTGATCACCCTCGTCTACCTCTCCCTTGTTCTCTCCTTCTCCTTCTCTTCATCTTCTTCTTCTTCTCCTATGTCCAAAGTTCGCGCGTCGAGACGCACTGTATATATATATTAAAAAAAAAAAAAAAAAAAATTACCAATCGGGCCAGTTGACGATGAAGGGGCCGCCCGATTGAATGTATACTATGGGAGGAGGCGATGGAGGATGCAGGATGCATCCACGTAGGTTAGGAAGATGATCGGGCCAGCTGACGATGAAGAGGCCGCCCGATCATCCAAGATATGATGACATCAACAGTCGGGAGACTGCTAATTTTTCGGAAACCCCTGCGTATCACAGATGTGATAAGCTCAGATCCGTACCGCGCGGCTTGCCGTATCCGTGAGGAAAAATCCCGCGGAAGCCCCGAAGTACGGACACGGATAGAAAGGGGTTTTTTCTTTCTTTTTGCTTTTGTTTTCTTTTTGAAACGGCTTTTTCATTTTTATTGGTTAATAACTTCCGYGCGAGCGAATAGCGGTCGMGGTATGAAAAGCAAGAAACAGTTTCGGTTGGGACTTTTTGAATTTTTGCGCGAGCACGCTCGAGCTCCGATTTCTTCGCGCGCCTCGCATCCCCGTTTCTTGCTTTGCATCCCCGCGCCATCTTCCTTTCTTGCTGCGCGCGTTTCCCTCCAGCTGGACTCTTCGTCTTCCCCTACGCCCAGCTTGATCCTTACCCCGTCTTCCTCCGCGAAGTGATTGGCTGCGTAGTTGGGATGCTCGGATCAATGTGGAAAGCGAGAAACCGCGCACCACTTGGACGAACACCCCAATCACGTAGCCATGCAATCCCGCGGGTCGAACCCTCTAACTCCCCACCTCTCTCTCTCCTGTCCTGCTCATCTACACCCTGCGCTGCCCGCACCTCGCGCTGTTAACCCGCCGCCTCCCGCGCTATAAATTTGCGCAACCCTTTCCTCTCCCTCTCTTTGATCTCGGCTGCAATGCTGTGCGAGCTATGCGCGAGAGTCCGCGGCGCCGAACAGGCTCGACGAGCCCAAGGACGGGCGGAGTGACGACGTAGGGTGGACCCACGATAGTCTCGGGGCGAAGCAGTCGGAGGGACTGAGCAGTGGTGGGGATTGGACGCCGGCTGCAGCAGGGCCTTGTGGCTATGGTGGTCGGTGGTCTTGGGGAGTTTTGAAGGCTGCGCCTGGGGGCGGCAGCTAATTGAATTTTTTGTGTACAAGAAGGACTCRCTTTTATCTCCATTGCTGCTTGGTCTATGCATGTTGTGTGTGTGAAGCCGCGAGTGATGGGAGTTGGTTGTGCACATGAGTGATGTCAAAGGTCCATGGATGATTAGATGTCTTGTCACGGGTTGTTGATTGCATGCATGTATGTATGTATGTACTCGTCCGGGCGGGGATGGGGAAACTGAACTGGGGGACTGTCTGCTTAGGAGTACGAGTGTGTCGATCCGATTGTTCCCCTCCCCTCCGCGGCCTTTCCCTCGCTCGCGCACGGTTTCGGCGTAACTCACACWCTCTCTCTCTCTCTCGATCGCCTTCCTTTTTGAACTGATAGCCATCGCTTTTGGAGCTTCTTCTCCCCGTACCGGTGACGTCAACCGCCTGCGTCCGCGCGGAYAGTCGTCGCCCCCGCAAGGGGAGAAAGCTTAAATTTCATCATCTTCCCTCGACGCACCCACTTTTGAGMGAGAAGAATTGAGTCGATTGTTGTATGGATTCGGTGTTGGTTCAGATGACCGGGAACGCGGGATCTTGCCCGTGTTCATCGCGTACCTCCGACCGTCTCATCTCGCTACCGACCTTCCCCATCACAGATGACGACAGCGTCTACTGCGATGCGGACGTACGTCGCGCGCTGAGGCGRACGGAGCAAGTGTGTTGGCAAGACCCGCCTCGGGCGTGTGATATAAGGGGGAACGGGTTTGTCCTGATTGATCGTTTTGATTCCCCGACTCTAATATTGCCTTACACGGGTTTAACGGTGTTGCCCTGGTCGGCCGCTCACGCCGCGTRGCGGCAGCAGTTTGATTGTCRCTGGTGTCGCCAGGGGGACTCGTGTTCTTGGCGACGGCTGGTCCTGGGTTACGAGGGAGCGACACGTTTCCCCGAGCTTTCCTGTAGTGCGGGGACGCTGCCCGCGCAATTTCGAATTCGGATGCCGATGAGTCCTCYCACCGCGTTACCCTCCCGGAACTTTCGCGCGGACTCTGTGAGTCCGACGCCGAGGCTTGACGGCCTCGAACCAACCACCTCTACAGCAAAGACCCGAGGGTTCGGCCACTTCGTGAGAACCGAGGATGAGGCCTGAAGGCTTCGAACCCACCACCTATGCCCCAAACCCCTGACGGYCGAAGTTTTGTCTTCCGCCGCCATGGCCCTCCCCCCCTTTATGCCTTTTCCYGTCCTGATGCACGGYGGCAGTTCGTTTTCACAGCAACCCTCCTGATTTCATCGTTTCGGAGTAATCCGACCCCCGCGGGACTTCGCGACGATAGTTCGACTCCGAGAAAAACCTCGGCCACGAAACGAGGGCCTCCCGTTCCGTCCGGGAGACTCAACCCTTACGACCAAAAATCCTCGGTCGCGCCCCTCCTAAAACTCTGATCGGCGACCCCGTAYGGGACACCGCGAGGGGGCGTGAGGTYGCGTATCACAGGCCCTTTTGCCTCAACTGCAATTACAAACTCAATCCCTGACTGCGCCGTAGTTTTCTCTTTTTTTTTTTCTCCTGCAATAGAAGAATYTGGGCTCCATCCAGCGGCCGCGCTCAATTGGTTAAGCACGCAAGTGGCATTCAGGAGGTTGTGGGTTCAATCCCCATGCCCGCCTGTGGCACTTGGTGCCAACCAACTGAGGTAGTCAGCTGGATCCTCCCAGTCCGTATCAGTACGGTCTTCAACCAACACGGGTGTGAGTGCGCGTGTGAGTGGGTTGTGTGTGGTGTGTGGGAGCGTGCTGGCTTTAGACACAACAATCCAGAAGGCTGCCCATCCCCCACTTCATAAGACCTTTGCCAAGCTTACTGTCTAGAACATAAAGCATGCAACCCGAATGGCTGTGTTGYCGCGTCAAACGCGGTATAATAGTAAATTGGAGCCATCACTATAGGGGAGCCTTGGAGAGTGCTTGTATTGTGACGCCCAACCTCACGCCCTGTGCGACTTCCTGATCGGAGTAGGATGGGGGCCCGGACTTGCGAAAAGGGGTGTGCCAAGGATTTTAGGAAAGTGGGGGTGGAGTCCCAGGTCGGAACTGAGATCTCCTGTGGCAAGTTTCGGGGGTAAAAGCACAAGAGGGTATGTGCAGGTCGTGCTTTGCGCTTTAATCTTCATAAGGAAGGTAGGCCACCTTTCGTGGTTTGTGCACAGAAGAAAAACCGTCGATTCGTGCAACATAAGGCAGATGGAATGTGCAATGCATCCYAGACTAAAGATCCCAGGGTACTTTTCCACAATCACAACACCGACAGATTTAAACACTTGCATTCTCGAACAAAATCCCAACAACATTGCCTATGCCAACGAACTCAATTTTTGTAAGCCTTCAAGCCCAAAAAATGGGAATCACCATCTCCTCTGGTTTCGCCTTCGTGGTTGGTCGCGCGGTTCGACCAGTTGTCGGTCACGCTCGGCTTCGGTTCGGGCTCGCCGAGCGATTCCCGAGGCTCGATATGCCTGGTGCYGCCGACACGTTTCGCATGGTATGCGGGGCCAATGGGGGTAATAACGACGAAGYCGGGGGATATGAAATATTGCGTGTTATAAATATCCGGGCAGTCGGGGCCCCTGGAATTGTTAGTTACGGCACAGTGAAAGTCCCTTYCGCACAATCGGTCGTTCTCTGTCAGACACGGGAATTCAGGATTTCTTAAGTTCCCCCGCTATCTGAGTTATTCACTTTCCCTGTATTCGCGATATTCTGGGTCCCTCAGGTTCTCACGATCGGACATCCAAGAGGGAAATTCTGCAGCCATATCCGTTTGGCAAGCTCGGTCCCCTGCATCCTTATACGGGGYTCAAGGCTGACTCTCGCAGACGAGCGCATGCGCGGCGACTCAACCTCCTCGAGATCGCGGTCGTACGCGAGCGTGCACGTGAGAAACAACGGATTGGTTCAGTGTGCCGATCGCGTTCAACATACATGCAAATATCCTACTCATGCTACGTTGGGTGAGATCGGGTCATTACATGCCATACATGTGATGAAAAGGAGGAAAGAGGGACGATCAACTTCTCACAACACTCTTGGTGATCRAAAGTTAGCGACTAAACCCAAACATCCATAACAAGCGTTTTCAATCAGATCTGAGTGTATGGCTCACGCAAGTGAATAGTAGACAAAGACGAAACAGGCATCGCAAAACAAGATTGGAAATCCGAAAAGATCGTTAATAAAAGGGAATTCACATTCATTCCATGCATACATACGAAGTAAAATCGACAAGGAAAATCCGAGACGATTTACAAGAGAAGTCCAAAAAGGGTCG